TTTTTTTTTTTTTTTTAAATCTCGGCCTGCGGGGCTCCCCCGGCGCTCCGTCACTTCCTCCCTCGAGGCGCTTCCGGGCACGTGGTGCGCTTCTCTGGGCGCCGCTTGCCCGTTGCCCTGGCGACGGGAGCGGGATCCTGGCGGGACGCGGGTCCGGGAGCGGCGGGAACGGCCGGATCGGCCGCCCGGCGCCGTAGTCGCGGTTCCGTGCTGGACCGGCAGGTGAAGCGGACCCGGGCATCGAGGTGTTGATAAGCATCACAGCCCGGTGGTTCGGTAGGCACAGAGGGCTCTTCGCCGGCCTGAGCAGGTGTCCCTTGCGCTGGGGCACGCTTCACCGTCGGTCCTTCTGGAGACTGGTTAAGCTTGTAAACATTAGTAGCTTTGTGTATCACAGAATCAGTTCGGTTGGAAAACACCTCTGAGATCATCGAGTCCAACCTATGACCAAACACCACCATGTGAACTAGACTATGCACTAAGTGCCATGTCCACTCCTCCCTTAAACACCTCCAGGGCTAGTGACTCCACCGCCTCCCTGGGCAGCTCATTCCAATATCCGATCACCCTGAAGAAATTCCTCTCAATCACCAACCTAAACCTCCCCTAGTGCGTCTTGAGACTATGTCCTCTTGTCCTGTCACTCTCTGCCCTGGAGAAGAATGTAGGTTATAAGCTGTTTGTGTTGGTACCTGGAACAAGCTTTGCTGAACAAACAGAACACAGAGGTAATGATGGTGCCTGGGAGGTTTTCTGCACGTGTGAGGTGGAGACCTACCTGCATGAACACGGTAAAGAAACCATAGTGTTGCCTGTCAGTTGCCTGGCTTAGGGTAAGAGTGGTTGATTATGGCAAACTTATTAATTTTTAACAATAATGTTGTCATCATTAGATGACAAGTAGAGAGGAACTATTTACAAGAGCATGTAGTGACAGGAGAAGGGGCAATAGTTTCAAACTGAAAGAAGATTTGGCTTAGATATTAGGAAGAAATTCTTTACTGTGAGGGTGGTGAAGAATGGCACAGGTTGCCCAGAGTAGTTGTGGCTGCCCATCTCTGGAAATGTTCAGGGCTAGGTTGGATGGGGTTTTGAGCAACCTGATCCAGTGGAAAGTGTTCCTGCCCATAGCAGGAGGGTTGGAACGAGACGATCTTTGATGTCCCTTCCAACCCAAACCATTCTAGGATTCTATGATCAATATATTTGTTTCAAAGAAAATGACAAATGCCCATCGGGTCAGACCAGTGGCTCATATAGAGGAGAGCTGGTGAATTTCCTTTAAGGATGACAACATATGAACCAAGGATGGGTGGGATGAAGCAAAAGAAAAGCAGAAATTAATCATGCTCCATCTATGTGTACAAGATGCAGGAGCTCAAGAATCACAGAGGCTAGGAGCAGCATAAATGCTCCTGCAAATGACATGTTTGAGCTTCATGTTGTAAGAACATTCCATCTGGCTCTGTAATGATAGTGCCAGGCTATCAATTCGCAGGAGATAACTTCCATTATCAATTGGAGTCGATTTCCATTGACTTAACATCACAAAATAACATTTGCTGCTGCCTGAAAAGCAGCAAAACTCACTGTGCAGGAGGGCATTTGGGCTGTTACCAAACATACTTGCTCTGAATGCTAAGAGTTCTTTTTTTAATTCAGATGGAAAACTGTCTGGCTGATTTTTAGGGAGATAATTAAGGTTATTCAAAACAAAAGGTCAGATAGTGAACAAAGAAACAATGACAAGGCAGGGAACCCAGCAAAGAGTAATCCCCGTGAATCAACCACTCCTAAAACCCTCAACAACTGGATGAACGACTAAGCCATTTGTCCCTGTTGCAAAACCCACTGAAGTGGATTCAAGGGAGGAAACTCTCTGGAATGTATGCAAATGAAGGGGAGTTACTGCAATAGGACTAGGAGGAAATACACAATAAAGCGGTTTTAGGACTTACTGGGGGGTGCTTGGAGGTTGAGGCGGTTGTTGGAATCGATAAAGAGAATTTGAGGATTTACAAATCTACACTGTTAAGCTGGGGATAAAAATCACAGGCAGAGCAATAGAGGGGTTAAGGTGGATAAACGGAGAGAAGAACAGGGATAAACAAAGCCAGTCAAATGCAATCAGTATGTTCGCCCAAGTTTTGCATCTGATCACCACAGCCTGTACTGTATTTGTAATAAATCATTTAAATTATTTCCTGTTCAATCGTGTTCTCTGTTGTGTGCAAGTGGTCTGCCTAGTCAGCAAGTAGGATGAAAGGTTTGTAGGGCCAGAAACCTGAGACCTATGAAGGCACATTTCTCTGAGCTCTGGTTCTTAGGAACAGGATCAGGCTGCTGACATGGTGCTTATACGGATGTCTTTGAAGTACACCCTCCTGCCAGCATTAACCTGTGTGTGCATCTCTGTTGAGAATTTGCACACCACTTTGCAACTGCTGGGATGTGAAACAAGTAAGCTCTCACTCATCTTCATTGACCCAGGAAAAAAGGAAGCCACTGGATCTTTCAGTCCACCAAATTCAGCTGCCCTTAGTACTTTTTAGGGAAAGCAGGTGTACCTGGCTAATATGTACAATCCATTCCCCTTGTTGTACTCCCATATTCAAGTATGGTAGTAGGGATGGTAGAGGGTACACCAAAACCTGTTTCGTTTGGTATTGAGTGGTTTTTCTGTTAGACTGTCTGTGAGGTTTTTGAACCTGATGATACCTTTGGCTTCCATAACTCTTGTGGCAATAAGTTCTTGGAGTGTAAAGTACCTTTTTTATTTGTTTTAAATTGATTACCAACTAGTTTCATTACATGCCCCCAGTCTGCCATGGAAAGCTGCTGAAGAGCTGTTTTCCATTCGCTT